CCTCGCAGAAGGACTTGGCGTTCTGGAAGATCTGCATCCACGGGCTCACAGGGTGCGCCTCGAACTCAGCCGGCATGTACGGCCACTGGTACTTGAGGAAGCAACGCTCCGGGTGCGGCATGAGGCACATGTGACGGCCATCGCTCGACACGAGACCGGCAATACCCTGCGGCGAGCCGTTCGGGTTGAACGGGTACTCCTCCGTCGGCACGTTGGAGTCGTCCACGTAGCGGATCGCGGCGGCGCCGCTGGCCACGTACTTCTCCTGGATCTTCGGGTGCGTGAAGTGCGCGCGGCCCTCGCCGTGCGAAACCCAGACACCCAGGGACGAGCCGGCCATGCCGCGCAGCATCACCGCGTTCGACTCCTGGATCTGCACCGACACGAAGCGAGACTCGTGGCGACCCGACTCGTTGTGTACGAAACGCGGCTGGGCCGACGTCTTAGTCTCCTCCTCCAGAGCCTTGGCCTCGGGGCGGTCGAGCCAGCCAAGCAGCGTCATGAACTGGCAGCCGTTGCAGGCACCGAAACTGAATGTGTCGTCGCGGGCCTTGAACGCTGCGAACTGCTTGAGCACGTCACCGTGGAACTTGACGACACCCGACCAGCCCTTGGCCGAGCCCAGCACGTCAGCGAACGTGAATCCACCGACGAACGCCACACCACGGAAGCGTTCGTCCAGCACGATGCGCTTGTTCACCAGGTCCGACATGGTGACATCCCACACCTCGAAGCCGGCGTGGTGGAACGCAGCCAGCATCTCGCGCTCGCCGTTGCTACCTTCTTCACGAAGAACGGCCACGCGGTGCTGGGCACGGGTGCTTAGCTGGCGCTCGGGCGTCGGCTTGGGCTCGTACGACAGCTTCCACGACGGAGCCGTACGCGTGCGCAGCGAACGCTGTTCCTGGGCCACGCACTCGGGGTTGCACTGACGCTTCTCTAGCTCGAAGCTGGTCGCCTCCCACACGTCACGAAGGTCCGCCATCTGGTCCTCCAACACGCTCTCGCCGTTCACGCTCACCTTAATGGCGCCGTCCGTCGTCACCTTACCCAGCTTGACGAGCGGCACGTTCAGCTTGCTGAAGATAGCCTCCACCTCGGTGGCGTGCTGACCAGCAGCTGCCTGGAAGACAAAGCCAAGCTCCTCGGCGAATAGCACCTGGATAACGTCCTTGGTCGTGGCCTTGCCGCCGGCGAACGGAATGTCCACGTCGAGGCCGCAGTTGCCAGCGAA